ATGAATCTAGAGTCCTCAGCCGCTCCCCGTCTCCATTCCCCCATCTCTGCCTCCATCTCTGGCACTGCTGCTTCGCTGGATAAGGTCCCACGTTCTATTTCTGTGTTCCTCTCTTGGTGGTCCTAGGGTCCTCTGTTTCTGGACTGTAAGATTAACCACTCCCCTTTTTTGGTTACAAAACTTCTACCTTTACAAGTGTAACAGTTGCAATTAGTCATGATAACAGATATTCACTATTGAATCTTATGAATTTTATCCCATCTCCTTTCACCAGACCCATCTAGACAAGATGATAACTATTCAGTGGGGACTCTTTCTTTCCCACCACACTCTTAAACCAAGCTCCTTCTTGAAACCTTGTAAGCCAGTCACTTCATGCCTTTATTGCTCCCTCATTTTAGCTAGCCAGTGTCTAAGTTGCCCGTTCCTATCTACCCTGTGCACAGAGCGGATAGCATTGATACTTGATTTGAAAACTCTTTCCCTCTCTGTTGGTATTTAGAGTAACTACCACTCTGAATATAGGTCAAATTCATCATGAAGATGTATCTTCTGTCACTGTAGCTGTTCCAGTCTGCTTGTCACCTCACAAGGTTGTGGATGGGACTCAGGATTCCAACTAAGGTCCTATACTCTGTAAAGGCTTTGCACTAGGCCTATTTCACTGGGCAAGTTATAGAACCTCTTTTAGGTTCTATATCAGTTATAGGCTGAAGGCAGGCTTATAAGTTTTCTCTAATCATGTTTCCCAACATTCCTTTCTATCCCACTCAAGTGTCTATTTTACAATAGTAGACGAGGGAAACTAATATTCATAAGGTAGTCAAGGAATTTAGTATTATTTACCCTCTTCAAGCTGTACCTAGATCCCTGTATCCCAGAGCCCTGTTGTTCCAAGGTTGAGTATGCATCACTACCTCTGTCCCACTAGGCCGTGCAAACCTGTCTCAGTGTTCCCCTACCTATCTTGTTCTTCTGCCTCCTCCCCCTTTCTTGTATTGCCCTCCCCAACACCCAAAATAAATTCCCGACCCCAACCCCATTGTGGTTACCTTATATTCCATTAGTTCTTCCCTCCATTTAAGACAGTCTATTTTATCCAGTAATCTACCTGACCTTCCCACCACCTGGATCTCTGTTCTTCTGTGTTTACCTTTTTTCACATTGTCATTGTTTTGATCATAGACTGACCTCCCAGATCCTCTGGTCTTATCATTTTATTCTGTGCTTGACTCTTTCATTTGTCGACTGAGTTCACGTTGATGCTGCTATGTGCGTCATTCTGTAGTTGTGTGTTCTTGTTGGTTCTCAGTCCACAGAACTTCCTTTAGGATGTTTTTCATAGCAGGGTTGACTTTGGCAAAATCCCTTAGCTTCTGCTTATCCTGGA